TACTATTCCCCTGCTCCCAAGTGTCTGTGCTTTCTTTGCCTTCAGGTAACACCTTTTCCTTCCAAGGTGTTTAGTGCCCTTGAGGTGTCTGGCCTGTCAGCCAGGGGAGGCCAGGGTCCCCGTACATGCCTGGGACAGTATGACAAACCCAGCCACCCTCCCTAACTGCAACTCTGGGCCTCATGGGGGACCTGCAAGTCTAAGGCAGGGCCACATAGGAAGCAACGCAGATGGAAGTGAGCTGGAACTTGCGGAGCTACATCTGGCTCCTCCCTCACTATAGGTGCCCACCTCTCCTGGGTCCCCCAGAACTTGCCCTGTCCACTGGTCAGCAGGGCTGGGCAGTAGCCCATCTAGCACCTTCAGGGGCTGTGCTTTAACCAGGGCTCAAGTTGGCCCCCTCCTCTGTGAACTGAAGCCACCAGTGGGGCAAAGACCCCCTTCACTTGTGCTCAAGAATGTGGCCATGATAGCAGAGGCACAAGGACCCAGGCAGCCACTGTCATAGCACACTGGTGGGAGTTCTAAAATCACTCTCACCAACAAAGCTGCCATTCTTTGGAGAAATCTCTCTGGATTCCTTTGACAAAAATGCCATGGGGAATGATTGTGCTGACAGGACCTTGTCCAACTCTGCCCCCCCACCCCCTCCCCTTGTGTCCAGCCTCCCCCTGCCCACGCCCTTCTGGGCCCTGGTGAATGGGGTCTCTCCAGGAGCACAATGGGCTTTGTGCTGTGCTGGGCGGTGCCCTGCCCCAGCCCTGAGAGCCTCCTTAAGTCCTCTGCACACATAGGCCACAGACAAAGCCCTGCCCTGTCGGGCTATTGTCATCCAGCCACTCAGGTCCTTGTTTGTGCCAAGTCTGATACCACTGAACTCCAGGCCAGGTGGGGTTCCCAGCCACTGAGATGGCTGTTTGAGGCCCAAGGGAACTTGGTTCCATCCAGCAGCTCTAGAGGCTCTCCTCAATGTCCCTGTCCAGGAGGACAGAGGGGCAGGCGCCAGCAGTCCTGGGCACCGAGGTACACACATGTGGTGTAGAGAGGACTCTGCCATGCAGCTATGTAGGAGAAACTGAGGCAGGCAGGTGGGGGTCTGGGCTGGGCCAGCTCTGATCAGAGACAACAGGACCCCCAGTCTGTGTGGTTCCAGTGGGAACCATGAGGGGCCAGAGTGAGCAAACTACCCCCACTGCAGCCCAGGCCTCACATGGAGGACAGGAAAGCCAGCAAGGGATCACGGCAGCCAGAGTGATATGGCTGCTTACCCATGCATGGGCCAGCACTCGGTACTACGTGCTCCCCACTACCCTCATTCTTGGGGGTTTCTAGCCCCTCAGTCGTCAAGCAGGCTGGGGAGGTGAAGGAGGCTCCAATGGGGACCCTGGAGGGGAGGAAGGAGGCTCAGGGCAAGGCTTTGAGGAGAAGGAAGCAAACCTAGGAGGGAGGCACAAGCCCAGCATGTGTCCACCTGGACATACCCTGGAGCCCCCAGGGGCCTGTGGACCTTGGAGGAGACCAGATGATTATTCGAGTGTGAGGGACCTTGAGGACACCTGCGTGGCTGAATTCTGTGTGAACAATGGCTTGGAACGCAGCAGTGCAGAGAGGGGAGCTGACCTGGGTGGCAGGAATGTGGGGCACAGTCCCAATCACCACCCTGTTTGCTGGCACCCAGCACTCTCCTCTGCGTGTCACTTGAGGGTCCACTTCCCGTATGCTGACTGTGAGCAGTCAGAGGCATATCTGTGCCACACACAGAACCTAACATGGTCCAAGCAAATATTTGCTGAAGGGAAGTGAGTTATAAAAAGAATGCATAGAGAAATTAACCACGTCTGAAAGGCAGAAGAAAACACATCCAAGGACACAGAGCAGGGCACGTTTACTTTGTCCTGAGCCAGTGACAGAGTCAGCAGGAGCGGCATCCCTGGGGGGTATTAGGGGTGAAGAGAAAGAAATGTGCTGTCCAGATCTTGGTGCTACAGACTAGCCAATTACATATTATTAAGAATAGATACATATAAGATAAGAGTTATTGGACTCACCTTCACCAAATCCACACATACAAGCCCCCTGTACCCTAAAACCGCAGAACATGCACTCACTAAGGGGGAGCAGCAGACTCACCAAAATACACCAGACTCTTTCCTACAAATTTCAACAAGTCTGAAAGGATTGAAATCATGCAGTGTATGTTCTCTGGCCATGGTGGAATTATACTAGATTTCAAACACAGAATGAAAATAGGAAGCTCTCCGAATGTTTGAAAATTATGAATTAAGCAATACACCTCTAAATAACCTATATGTCAAAGAAAAAATCACTATAGAAATCAGAAAATAGCTTGAGCTGAATATGGGAAATACAACATATTAAAATCTCTGGGATACACAAAGGGACATTTATACCTCAGTGAAAAACTTACATGTGTAAAAAGGAGAAATGCTGAAAATCAATGACCTATGCCTCCAGCTCAAGAAGCTAGAAAAAGAACATGAAAATAAAGGCAAAGAAAACAAAAGGAAGGAAATAGTAATGAAATCTATGAAGCAGAAGACAGAAATACAATAAAGAAAATCAATAAGATCAAAATCTGCTTCTGTGCAAAGATGAATAAAGTTGCTAAACCTCTGGCAATATTGATCATTAAAAAGAGAGAAAACCAAAATTTTCTTACCATTTCATGTTATTGATGCTGTGTAAATAATAGTTTTATATTAAATTTCATTTTCAAAAAAGTTTGTTGCTAATGTATAGAAATGTAATTGATTTTGGAATATTGGTTTTGAAGCCAGAAAACCTTGCTGGACTAACTCTAAGAATTTGTAAGTTTTGGGGGGTTTTCACACCTGTAGCCCATCATCTTATACTTGCAATTCTTACACCTCCTATTCTTTTTCTGCCTTGTGGTACCAGCCAGCACCTTCATCCCTGCTCCTGACCTCAGGGAGAAGCCTTCCCATGATTCCTCAGTAACTAAGTTCACTGTAGGTTTTATCATACTGTTTACCAGGTTAATGAAATGTGCTTCTATTTTAAGTTTGCTAAAGGTTTTCCTTTTCTCCTTTAATCTTTTAATCTGTTAATGTGATGAACCTTGCTAGTAGCTTTTCTAATGTTAAAATGGCTTTTCATTCCCACATAAATTCAATTTGGTCAAAGCATATGATCTTTTATATATTATTTTTAATATTATCTCAATATTTTTGAGTACTCAGTATTTTGAGTTTCATGGTGATGGCCTTTGCTCATGTGTACAGGCAAACCCACAGGGATCCAGGCCACTCGGGAGGCATCGTCACGCCTGCGTGATGGATGTGGTGAGTGGGACAGTTGTCAGATGGTCACACACCTGTAGGTCATACACCAAGACTCCCCCATCACACACACAGACAGCCCTCTGAAATGTTTGCCCATGAGGCTGTGCAGGTTGTCTGCTTCGGTGTCAGGGAGCAGGGTCCACGCAACCTGCCTCATATGCATGGTGTCCCTGGAGTGGTAGGGTGGCCACAGCCCTGCCTAAAACCACAACCTTCTTGGAAGAAACAAGGCTGTAGGAGTGCCCTGCTTCCTGGCCCTCGTCCACTGTAGTAGAGTGGCGTATGTAGTAGGTTCCCTAAGCTGACTCTGCTTGTAAGGGCGATGTCCTCACTGACATGTCCTTCCCAGGCACTGGAGCCGGGAAAGCACCTTGGAGCTCAGGTGCATTTCCTCCTTCAAATGCCCACAGATGACACCAGATAGCCACACTCAACCTGAGAGGTGAGTCCTGGGGAATGAGTGTGCCTGCTCTCCCCAAACCACGTCAGGGTGCTTGGTGCCCTTCTACTTCCCATTAGGCATCCTTTCCACTTGTTCTTGGGCACACACTTACTGATGGCCAGTGACGGGCATTGGTGTCCACTCTGAATCTGTGCCTCCTTGCAGTCACACTCTGCTCTTGCCCTTTGAACTGCACTTTGGGCTCTTGGAGGCCCTCCCAGGAGACTTGCTGCAGGTTCTCAGGACAGGCTGGCCTGGGTGAACCCCCCCCCCACCGCCCCCCAGGGCAGGGCAGCCAACAGTCCTCCTCCAAATCCCGCCACACATTCCTTGAGGGAAACTGCTCTGTCGTCTGGTTGGCCCTTTCTCTCTGCTAACAGGCCAGCTGGCCACAGAAGTGGGTCCAGCGCCAACACACTTGAGATGAGAGTGACTCCAACAACCCCCATGTCACAGTCTCACACCCCTGCCTGGTGCTATACTCAGAGCCTCTGGTTGACCCAGTCAAGGCCACCCAGGCAAACCACCCATCTGAGTGCAACTTGAACAGACCCTCTCTCTGCCACACAGGCCACCTGCCATCATAGTGGGATAAAGTTGTCTACTTCAGCAGTAATTTCTGAACAATTGCTGGATCCTGTTATGGAATGTGGACTCTTGTGAACAAGGGGGCTTTGCAGTCTGGGCCCCTTCTGAACCCTACAGCTTCAGGTCTCGTGTTTATGGATAAGGACTGGGGTGAGGGTGCCCACACCTCCCCCAGGAAACTCAGGAGGAGCTCAGGGAGCGCTCCGAAGTGCCATCCAAGGCACCAAGAACTGACTGTCCCACCTTGCAGCAGAGTCCACAGGGTCCCAGGCTCTGCCCACCGGCAATCCCGCGCTGCGCTCCACACCCCCGCCAAGGGAGGCGACCATTATGGTCCTTTGCATTGGACCTCCGGGCCAGCGCCCTTCCAGTCCCCGCAAGGGGAGACCGCATGGATCAGGAGCGCGTGGGGTGGTGAGGGAGAAAGGCTGGGGTGCAGTTGGGCGCGGCCGGTTGGCCAGGGGTGACGGCACGGCGCGGGAGCAGAGTGAGGCGCAGGCTGCACTCTCTAACTCGCTGCGGGGGCGGGAAGGCCCCGCCCCGGGGCGGGCGGGAACCACCGGATTAAAGGCCGCCGGGGCGGGGGGAACAGGACTGCCGGCGGCACTGGAGCGCTGAGCCCCGCTCTGGACTCAAGCAGCTGGCTTCGCCGCGACATGCGCACCGGCACAGGGCTCTGAGCGGAGGCGGTGATGTCGGGGCGCCAGGACCCCGGCCCAGGCTGTGGGCTGCTGCTGGCCCTGGTGCTGGCATTGAGCGGGCTGCCGTGGGCGAGGGGCGTCGAGGAGGTGCCTGGTGGCACGCATGGAGCAAGTCAGGGCTTCCAGGTGGTCACTTTCGAATGGCACCACGTCCAGGACCCGTACATCATCGCTCTCTGGATCCTTGTAGCCAGCTTGGCCAAGATCGGTGAGTGCCCCAAGCCAGGTAGTCAGCTGGACCTAGGCGAGCTCCCTTAGGGACAGAGTTGGGTACCCGCCTTCGCCTTGGTCCGCAGTCGCTGCCAGTCTGCGGTGATCCTCCCGGTGGCGTCATCCGGCAGATTGGAGGAACGCAGCGCCTGAAGCCTGTAGGCGCCAGGAACTGAATTAGGGTCTCCTGCTGCAGCCACCAGCTTTTCAGTTGGGTTTGTTGGGGCCTTTTGAAATACCCAGAGGAAAGGCTTTTGCTGTCAGCCACTGGAGTGAGGATCCTGTGTATCTCTGGAGCAGAAAATAAAAACTCGGCTGCTCAGAGTAAACCCAGTAGAATCCTATCCACATGATCAATTTTCCTGTTGGTCTTCTCTTTTCAAAAATCCTGGCCTGTCAGATTTCTCTTCTCTTAACTGGCTTCCAGTGAGTCAGTAAGGTGGGAATTGCAGGTGGCTCCTGGGCAAGGTGATAAGAAGGTCGGATTTCTTAAGAGTTTGAGAGGATCAAAGTCTCATGCAGTGGCCAGTGCCAGCATCAAGAGGGTCTTTGAGATGGTGGGGATGTGGACGGGAGTGTAGCTTCCTGAGTGCAAGGCCAGGGCATGTCCTGGGAGGTTTCCAAAGTGATTTTGGGAGAGGGGCAGGGCACCAAGGAGGGGCCTCCTGGGGGTACTGATGTCCTTGGCAGGACCAGGAGGGACAGGCTTTGGGGAGAGTGGGTTAAAGGGCTGGACTCCGTCCTACCTGGTGTATCTGGCAGACCTCCAAGAGCACCTGCTGTCTGTCCCAGTTGTCCTGTGTCTGCCGATGAGCTCCTTCCCCTTCAAACCCTTCTTTTCTGTTGTCTCTTCAGCTCTCTTTCCATGCCTCCTGCCCCTGCCTCTGTTGGCTCTGCCTTCCTCCTTCATCCTTCAGCATCTGGCCCCAGGGCTGGGTCTCTTTGACAGTCTGTCCCCTGTGGGGCTTTCCAGTTGGGGCTGGCGCTGCTGGCTGCTTCCTAAACGGTCAGGGAGATCCCAGAACTCCTGTCCTCCAGCTCAGTGGCTCCTCTCTGGCAGGGTTCCTGTGGAGTGAATATGCAATTTCTGAACAAGTTGGGGGCCACCAAAGGCCCATCCCCATGTGTGATTCAGAACCTGGAATCTGAAAATCCCAGCCAGTCAACCCGCCCAGGGAGGCTGCAGGGAGGACACATAGACCAGGGTTTTGGCCAGCCCCAGAGTTTGTTATTCACCAGGAAAAGCCTTCAGGCCTCCAGAGGACTTGGACTGGAGAGGGCATCTGAGAGGGCGGCAGGCGAGGGTGCCAGCTCTGGCAACTCTTGGGGCAGGGTGGGCCTAGACATGTTTCCCACTGAGTCTGAACCCTCTAGAGACCCCTTCCCAGTTGGTCGCTGTGGTACTGGGGTGGTTGCCCCTAGAAAGAGCAACAGTCTAGCACTGGTGGAGCTTTGAGCACAATATGAAGGGCCCTTGGTGCTTCCCCTGAAATGCCCTCTCCCTGGACTGTCCCTAACTTCAACTACACAGTGGTTCATTCTGTATTTGAAGGCTCTACTATCGAGGTGTCACCATGGACAGATCACCCTGTGTGGGGAGCTGAGTCCATCTTAAAACATGAGGTGGGACCCTCCTCTCAGCTCCCAAGTCCCCATCTCTTATCCCCTTCCCCTGGGGGTCCACCATGACCCTCACCTGGCCCCCCAGCCCCTACATCTTCTCATTACCAACTGCCTCCTATGCTGCGCTGCCTCACGCCTTCAGCTGCCCAGATCCCCACTCCAAACTGGTGTCCCTGGGTCAGTCAGCTACCAGGCACCCCTGCATGGATACCTCCCACACCCCAGTCCAGATGACCCCTCTCTACCCTCCACTCTTCAAAATCAAAGCTAGCTGGCTAGCAGGCCATAGAGGTTCATGCTGGGTAACCACCATAGCCACTGGCACAGAGTCCAGCTCCCCTCCCCCAAAGCCTGTGTTGCTCTGCATTTCCCACGGCAGTGACCAGCAGAGACCTGACCAGGGCTCTGCCTTAACCGACCCTCCAGGCCCAGCCCTCTGCCTGTGGCCCCCTCCTGGCAACCCCCTCCTTTGTGAACTCTGGACTTGCTGGAGCCCAGCTGGCCCGGACTTGGCCTCCTGGAAAGCCTCCTGGACCCCTCCCTGTGCAGCCACCCCAGATGCCCCTGTCCCAAGTGCCCCTCAGAATGGCCCACACAGGCAGGCACAGCAAGGGCTCTTGTATCTGCGCAAGTGAGGGAAACACTTGAGTTTCACCAACCCCCTTCCACACTCCACAGTCCCAGGCTGAGGCCGCTACTGACTAGGGTGTTTGGCACATTTCGTTGTTTAAAATGCTCAGGGATTGCCCAGACTCTTTCAATCTCAAGTTACACAAATAGAAACGTATCTTCTAACAAAAGAGGAGGTGCTTTTGTGCTCATTTGCCAAACATTTGTTGCATTTCTTGTACATTATCCTAAGTGTTGCTGGCTCACATCTCCAACCTTGAGAGGTCAGATTTCAAGCCATTTGTAAGCTGGTTGGGGAAATAATACTTAGGACCCTGGAACACAGGCCACATCTGATTCCAGGAGGTTTTTTACTTCAGGCAGCTTCAGCGAGAGAGGTGGAAGACAACAGCTGCCAAAGAAAACACAGCAGGTGTCAGGACCCTGGGAGGGGACCAGGTGCCTTTAGCCCATGGACCTGGGACCCTGAGCCTGGGCTGTGGCAAGCTCCCCATCCTTGTCAATTTGGTTCCCCAGGGTCTCCCTGCCTGTCATTACAGCTCTAAAAATTCAGAAGGGGAGGAAGGGGCTGCCAAAGCCAGGGTGCAATCCACTGCCTAGGGGCAGGTAGTATGCCAGAAGGTGAGAACTGACCCTCAGCCCAGGAAGCTATAGGGTTGGTGTCTGACCCAGGTTCAGTGAGGGGTCCCCTCCTGAGACCAGCTTGGGTACTTGGGACACATGCCCACCAGAGATTGCCAGCCTGCAGCCACCCCGCCAGGATCACTTTGGGCCCTCAACAGAGCTCCTGCCTTACCACATATCATCCAGCACTGGGGAAACTGGGCCAGACTCTGCCCTGATGGAGGTCTCCTTCCTGGCCCTCCCCTGGGAGTCAAAGGCAGGTGTTGCCTCACTCAGCAGACCTACCTCAGCCATGGGGAGGGAGGATAGGGTCAAGAGAGAGGTGGGGTCTAGGGACAGGAAAGAGGAGGAGCAGATGGCTGAGGATAGGTAGGGGAGGGCTGAAGGCGGGACAGAGGTGGGGGCAGGACCAGGGGCAGGAGAGTGGCCCACCAACTTAATTGCAGGCCTTGGAGGACTTTGGTTTCAACCTGGGGTTGGGATGGGGGTGGATGTGGTCAGATCTAGGTCCTCAGACCACTGCCCTGGCCATGAGGTCAAGAAGGGCACCAGAGGGCTACTGGGCAGACAATCTGAAGTGTCCCTAAAGTCCCAGGGGGCTGGCCATCAGGCCTAGGTGGAGCACTGGGGAGGGGTCACAGGATTGTCAGTAACATAGCAGAGGCCAAACCTCTATCCTGTCCTGTTCTCCCACCCTCAGGCCCCAAGCCATCTAGCAAAGTCTGTGTCTGCTGTGCCCACTCCACCCATAGCTGAGCCACCTACAGTGACTGAACCTAATGAAACAAGAGCAGGAGGTGTGGCTTTGGGACTCAGGAGACTGAATTGAGAAGCAGGTGGGGCAGGGAGCAGGTTCTAGGCCCAGGTGGGCCATCTGTTCCCATCCAGGCTGTGGGAACACCTGGAAACAGTCACAGTTGGGTGTTGATTGGGCTGCCCAGCCTGGGCCCAGCCACAGGAGTTGTGCAGGGACCCCAGCCCTCTGGGGTGGGCAGCGGGGCTGGCAGGCAGGCAGGTCAGGGTGGGCCATATTCTGGAAGTAGAGTTGCTAGAGGGGTAGGGCTGGATGGGGTAAGAGCCTCTGCCTGTCTGCATGGCCTGCTCTGTTCCCCCCCAGAAGTGTCAGGGAAGATGGCACCAGGGTCGCAGAGGTGTGTTGGGCGAGCAAGGAGCCTGGGCAGCCCAGTCAACACCCAACTGTCAAGAAGCACAACATGTGACCTGTCTCTGACCTTCTGTGCCAGGATGTGGCTCTTACTGGTGGCTGTGGGGCTCCTACCTCTCTTCCGTGTGCTGATGCTGCCTGACTGAGACCTAGGTCTCTGACCATGAGATCCCCTGTTCCTGGCCACAGAGTCCTTGTCACTCAAGCCCCCCTCAGGCAGGAGCATCTCTGTCTACACCCACCCATGGATCTCTCCCAGACACAGCCTAGCAGGTCTGGCGCTGTGTTTTCCCTGAGTCACATTCCCAGGCTGAGGGTCCTACTGACTTCCTGGGATTGGACTTGGAAACTGGAGATTTCATTTCATGTGCTCTGGCCCCGGGGATGGGAGCCCCAGTGACATATCCAGCCAGACCTGCTATCTTTCCCTTGGTCCTCTACTGCTAACCCTCTTACTGAAGGAACTCAGGAGAAGATCAGGGGAGGGGAAGCTTGAAGGGATGGGGTGGGAGGGTACTCCACACCTTCCTCTGGGGGAGGATAAGTCAATGGGCCCTAGTGGACTCCAGTCCTGGTGGGAGAGATGGATTCCATAGGCTTGGAATAGGGACCTATCATCAGAGCCCTGGAGTCTCTATGGGAGGGAGGGTTTGGACTGAAGGTGTAAAGTCTCATTCTTTTCAGGAACTGCCTGCAGCAGAATTATCCAGGGGCTGTAAAACAATCCCTGGCATTTGGAGGTGAGGCAGCGCCCTGGAATATCCCAAGGAGAAAAGGCAAAGGTTGGGAAGATATGATAGCACCCAGGGTCAGGGAGCGAGTGGACCAGGGCTCCCTGTGGGTGGCACCGTGTCAGAGAACCAGGAGAAATCTCCAAGTCCCTTTGTGAGGCTCTAACCACCAGCACAGCACACTGTGGGCCTCTCCTCACCTATAGCTCTGGCCTGTGACAGTTC